TCCGTTGATTGTAGAGGGTGTCGTTTAATGATCACATTTTTGTACTACCCCTACAACTCGTACATATACTACGTAGTCATAAGGCAGCTATGTTCCCTATGTATACAGCATCGTTGTACAGTATCATTCCTATTTCCTAAATGTGCGTGATGCATAGCCGACGATTTCTCCAAGTCTCTAAACCTGATAAAACCAAACAACTCAATTATACTGTGCCCTAGAAATTCGTTCTACTCTCTTAAAAACTACACGTTTCTGCACGAAAACCTCATTGTTTTTCTCAAAAACTGGATGTTTCCAAACAAAAACTTCATTCTTTTTCTTGAACAAATGGACGTTTCTCCACAAAAATTCGCTCTTTTTGCTTAAATGTACAAAAACTACATTTCTTTTCCTGGAAAACTAGACCTTTCTCCACAAGAACTTCACTCTTTTTTCTGAAAAGCACGACGTTTCTCCACAAAACTGGATCATTTTACCTTTAAAACCCGATATTTCTCCAAAAGAGCTTCATTCCTCTTCCTTAAAAACTGGATCACTCTCCGCAAGAACTTTATTCTTTTCCCGTAAAAGCAGACATTTCTCCGAAAGAACTTCGATCTTTTTTTGTTAAAAACTACACGTTTCTTCATAAAAGTTTCATCATTTTTCCTTTAAAACTTGACATTTCTCCACAAGAACTTCATTCTTTTTCGTTAAAAAACTGGACGTCTCTCCACGAAAACTTCATTTGTTTACCTTGAAAACTAGACGTTTGTAAACAAAAAGTTTATCCTTTTTCCCTGAAAACTGGATGCTTATACACAAAAACATTAATCTTTTTCAAGCAAGACTGAATGTTTTTCGACAAAAACTTCATTCGTTTTTCTTGAAAACTGGATGTTCTTCCACAAAAACCTTTTTTTCCTTAGAAACTACCCGTATCTCCACCAAAACATCATTCGTTTTTGTTGAAAGTTTGGCGTTTCTCCACAAAAAATTGTGTTTCCTGGAAGACTGGATGTTCGTTCACAACTTCATCCTTTTTTCTTAGAAACTGTATGTCTGGCCAAAACTTAATTCGTTTTCCTTAAAAACTGGATGTTTCCTCACAAGAACTTCATAGTTTTTCATTACTAAATGGACATTTCTCCACAAAAATTTTCTCTTTTTGCTTGAAAGCCAGATGTTGCTGTACCAAAACTGCATTCTTTTTCCTGGAAAACTAGACTTTTCTCCACAAGAACTTCAGTCTCTTTTCCGTAAAACTGGACGTTTCTCCACAAAAACTGTATCCTTTTATCTTTAAAACCCGATATTTTTCCACAAGAACGTCGCGCTTTTTCCTTAAAAACTGGATTCGTCTCCAGGAGGACTTTTCCCATAACTACTGCATGTTTCTCTACAAGTACTTTATATTTTTTCCTTAGAAACTGGATGTTTCTCGAGAACAACTTCATTCTGTTAAGGGAAAATAGTGTAGTTTTGTGGAGAAAGGTCTAGTTTTAAGGAAAGAGAATAAAGTTCCTGTGGAGAAATCTCGAGTTTTTAGTAAAATAGAATGAAGTTGTTGTAGAGAAGCGCGTAGTTTTTAGGAAAAAAGAATGTAGTGCCGGTGCGGAAAGATCAAGTTTTCAACGAAAACGAATGAAGTTTTTGTGCAGAAACGTCCAGTTTTTAGAGAAAAAGAATGTAGTGATTGTGGGTAAACGTCTAGTTTTAAGGAAAAAGAATGCAGTTTTTATGGAGAAACATCCGGTTTCCAACGAAAAATGATGAAGTTCTTGTTGAGAAACATCCGGTTTTTATGGAGAAAGAGTGAAGTCCTTGTGGAGAAACATACACCTTTTAGCGAAAATTCTGGTCGAGCAAAATCCAGTTTCTTGTGGAGAGATATGCAATTTCAGATGAAAAAGACTGTAGTTTCTGTCGTGAAACGGCCAGTTTTTCCGGAGAAAGAATGAAGTTCTTGAGAAGAAACACCCAGTTTTTTTTGAGAAATATCCAGTTTTTAAGCAGAAGAAAGGAAGCTCTTATAGAGAATTATCCATTTTTTACCGAAGAATGTTGTTTTTGTGGGGAAAAGTCTGGTTTTGAAGCAAAGACCATCTAGTTTCTCTGGCGAGACATCCAGTTTTTAAAGAAAAAGACTGTAGTTTTGGACAAACGACTAGCTTTTAAGGAGAGAGAACGAATTCATGAATTACTGCTTTCCTGCATTCCATAAATGTGTGAATTCGTGAAATTCTGAATTCCTGCCTTACTGTAGTAAACAATTACTTAATTCCAGCTTGCCCTAAATTTGTGAATTTGTGAATTGCTGCTTTTCTGCATTCGTGTCGTGTAATTACTTATGATAAGGATTAGCGATGTAGCGAGATTTTTCGACTTTTTCCACGTTTTACCTGCGGAACTTGTGCGGTTTTTGCAATTTGAGCCAATGAAGACACGGAAACGTACCACTGTACAGTCATGTTTTTCCTTCACTTTGTCTTTCGGGCCTATGAATCATTTTCTTTCAATTCATAGAGAACAATGTAAGACTGAACTTCTTCTCTTCAATTTGAACTCTCCCTAAATTTGAGTTCTCCCTGCGTCATTTACTGGAGGATAGATAAAAGTGAATAATATCAGGAAATTACTTAGCACCACATTTCTACGAAATAATTGATCCTTTCAATCGTAAAAGCCGTATCGTATTTCGTACTAAATTTTATCATATTTTTGGTCAGCTCCGTCCATTCCAAATATATAAGTTACTTTGAAATGAAGCTAAATCCCCCCACAATAAAAGGACACCCCCTGTATTAGACGAGGTCTGAGAAAATTTTTAAACGCCCTATTAGAAGGTCACGCGTTTATTAATTAATATTTTCCAAAAAATATTGAGTTTTTGGAAAATATTAATTAATAATTTTGAAAATTTACCTAGTTTTCTAGGAACCTCGCATAAATAGTATATTTTCCACAAAAGAACGCACTTGTTCAGTGAAAAGTGCCTTTAAGTATTAATTAAAACTATTAATTAATTATTAAAATTTCAAAAATATCTTTATTAATAATTGGCCAGAAGCTGATCCTCAATAGAAGGCCATCCAAAAAGTAGCGATGTGTAGCGAGACTCTTCACATAATCTGTTCCATGTTACGGCAAAACGAAGAAAGAACGAAATTTCAAAATTCTCCCTATCTGTGAATGTTACCTCTTTATCAGAAGATGATAAAAAGTGCACGAATAATAATAATAATGACGAGACGAATTGTTACCCGGTTTAATTGTTGATAAAAATACACGAGATAATGATGGTATTCTTAAACGTGCTTGTGAATTTGAAAAATTCTAAAATATATGCATCATCCAGTCAGCTTTGATTATGAACTGTCAGTTTGTTGCATGATTGTATCTGACGGGGCCCTAGCGTTATAATGCATCGCTACTATACTGTTGTTCGTCAAATTAGCGGAACCTGACTCCGATTAGAATCATAGAATATGTGGATAGTTTCACATCTTGTCTAATTTACAAAAGCCCGTTCAACATTCAAACATTGGACAATGTTACCAGATACGGATATTAATCAACTGAGTGATATATCACTCGTTAGAACATGTAAAATTACTCGTACATGACACGGGTAACAGTTCAACAGAGAGGATAAACGAGGATCATTGCTAGCTCACGAAGGACGTATTTCTCTACAGTTAAAAAGTCGTTCATGTATAACGAAAGTGAGGATGTTCTTCTGATTGAAATGGTTTGACTTTGAGTTCGCTTAGGGCGTCACAGCTGAGTGGAATGAATGTGTTGGAAGCTTATCAAAATACCGTAAAAATGCAATATGTCGGCAGCAATAAACTAGGGGCACGAACTCTTTTCAGCGTATTCATAGCTCATTAGGGCCTGCATGCTACACATAGTCTCGACTCAAAAGCGAATTGACACCCCTGGGAACGTTCCCTCGTTAGTAAAATGAACTACTCAATTACTTACTAGGAATTGTTGTTGTTGTTTATTTGCACATTTAAAAACCGATTTCCAGCGCTAACCGGTGGAAAATACAAATGATGACACTACATGACGAAAAAACTATACATTTCACGAAAATTAAAGTGTCATGTTAAAAAACAAATGCATGAGGAAATCGGGAAAAAAGACGAATTCTGGTAGAACATCATGAAAATGATTGACATAAAAGTTAAACGAATTTCGATACCACCTCCAAAAATCGTAAAAATAGGAAAATACATGATGATACCTCTCGGCTAAAAGCCGCGCATGCCTGCAATTCTTGCGTAAACCGAAAACGCTTAAATACATCGAACGCCAGTGTGCAGGATTAGAATACATATTGCATAAATCCAACAATTCGACACTATCCGAAAAAGAAAACACTCTGGACATATATCTAATCCAATAACTCGAAAAACGGTCCATCAAAGTACGGTCACCAGTGAGCGAAAAAAACATATGATAATCTAAATAGTTAACACCATAGACACGTCGTAAATAATACGAATACAAGTCTGCTAATCGTCTCTGTTAAACATCGATACAATAGAAAAACAAAGGCGCTAACCAGTTGAAATATGGATAGACAAAAGCAAAAAAAGCGCGACGCCTTAATTTGATCGAGACCATACCTTGACAGTTGAAAAGATGAGAGACAATTCGGAAAGAAGAAATGATTCAACACTGTTCATTAAGCATGGTTCCAAAAGCTAATCGAGTCGTGATTACGTATCCTAAGTATCTAAATCTTTTCACAAAACGAATTGATGTTTGGTTATAAAAAAGGTCGAAAGGTGGTAAACTAGATCGAACATTGATCAGCAGGGCCCCTGTTTTTGTGCTTAACTCAATAAGCCAGTTTTTAGAGTAAGAATGTATTGCTTCTAGTGTTTTTTGCGCATTTGAACGTAGCAAGTGAATGGCCTCCCGATACTTAGTACCTAATAGAACTAAGAAAAAAAGGCCGAGATCGTCGGCGTAAAAGTGGTGCAAATGAGCCGAAAGAATATGAACTAAGTCTGAAATAAATAAAATAAACAAAGTCGGCGATAATACATACCCCTGAGGCGTACCACACTCAAGTGGAAATGAAAAAGATCTTAAATTTCCTAAACAAACGTAGCCAGTTCGCCCCTTCAGCCAATTTCGAATCCACAACCAGAGACGATGGTTGACACGGTGCCTCGCTAGTTTTACCAGCAAAGCATCGTGCCAAACCCTATCAAAGGCTGACACAAAGTCTACGAAGAGAATGAGGCCGGGTCTCGACGAGGAGAGAGCAACACGGGCCTGCTCGAGAAGGGAAAGAATCCGAGTTTGCAGACGCAGGTCCGGTTGAAAGCCCGTCTGAACATCCGGTATCAGATTCTGGTCCCTCACAAACTCGGACAGACGTCGGTCGAAAACTTTCTCGCACAGCTTGCTGATTGCATTCAAAATCGATATGGGCCGCAATTCATCTAAAGAGGGGAACTGACCCTTTTTCGAGAGAAGAAACAACCTTGCCATTTTAAAACTTTTTGGAAAAGAGTCGGTCAAAAAAAGCCTATTAAATAAAGTAACAAATAAGCAAATATATTCAGCGGACAGCTTTCGCAAAAGAATATACCCTGAGAATCAAGCGCGCGTTTCGGTTTTAAATGATTTAGTTCGTTCTCAATTTCATGATACGTTACCACAAAAGGATCGCCTGGATCTGTCGAAAATTCTCACAAAATCGATTCTAGCTCTTGTTGCACTTTTTCTTTAGTTTCGCGTAAAATCTGTTCTACCGGTAAACGAAAGTGATTCTTATAATGTTCAGCAAGACGGTCTAAAATCTGTTGTGGATCGGAAATTAGGTCGTTGTCATGATTTAGCGCTTTAATTTGAGGAGCATAAGTAGTCAAATGTTTTGCTGTGTACTTTCAGAAAAGAGTAGTGTCTCGAGTTGAGCAGTTATCTAAAAAGTGAATGTACTGGTCGGTCCGATGGTTTTCTATTAAAGAGTTCACATAAGAAGAGTTCTTTGTATAAAAGAAGCGAGAGGTCATCCCTGTTTCGACGTTTATGAAATTTGTTCCTCAGCTTGTGCAGTTTTAAAATCTCAGTACGAATTGTAAGTGGCAGAGAGCGGCGATACTTTTGGACTGGAATCATTCGAGAAACACGAACTAATAAAGATCCTAGTAAATTCGAAAACAAATCGCAGAATTCTTCGGCGCTGAACTGATAAAGAAGATGATTTAAATAAGGAAAGACAAATGATAGAAAAATAGTGTAGACAGACCACCGAACGTCTTTAAAGTAATACATAGAGCTAGTAGCAAAAACGCTGGTGCGCAGCACTGGCGAATGATCAGAAGTGCCTGATTCCAGGACGCTAGTGCAAGGATTAGGATACGATGTTATTACCAGGTCAATTACGTTGGTAGAAGTTGTCGCTCTTTTAGATGTCGCTTCTGTGGCGCTAACATTCAAGTTCAGTTCTTCGATAAATTGTTCGAGTTGTCGTCCACGGTTGTCTGTTGAAGTACAGCCCCACAGATCCGAGTACGCGTTAAAATCTCCAAGCAGTTGACATGCCGTATTCGAACACACCGAGCGTAGTGAACTCAGTGGTAAATCTGAAGATCGTGGCGCATAGCATGCTGTCACCTGAATCGAAACTGAACCTAAGCAAACCGAAACTATGAGCAAATTAGGTTCTGCAAAAAAAACCGTAGCCTGAACTGAATTATGCACTAGAAGTAATATTCCGCCATGCACGTTTGTACCCGGTGTAAAGAAACATGTATGAATGAAACCAAGCATGATTTAAGTTCGAGATAGCGTTCCCGGTTTCGATCAAAGCACCGACAGTTGGTGCACTAAAATTTATAATTTTCTCAACTTCGGGTAACCGACTCGATAAGCCTTCAACATTAAACAAAAGAGAAGACAACGGTTTTGTAGTAAGAAAACTGTCGCAGGAAAAAGAGTTCCAAAAATTTGGCAAATTTAAAATAGAACGCTTGGAGTTCCACTCGTGAACAAGTAGCTTTAAAAGCTCTCGATCGAGATCACATAACTCTTCGAGATTAGACGTCACAACATAATAAATCTATACAAGAATCGAAAAAAGCAAAAGGTGGAGCTAAAGGGTTAAAATTCATGTTGGGAAGGATGCAGAAGTCGAAATAACGTTAGTAGTAGGAGGTGCTGAAGGAAAAGGAAATTTTGACATTAAATCTGAAAAAACCCTTGAACTTTGAAAAAAGCTAGTTTCAGTCACAGTTACTGCTTCTTCTAAACATTTTGTTATTCTTCCCATTTTCTGCTTCAGCCTCTATACCTAAAAGAGAAACTGTCTGTCTGTCTGGTTTACCTTCCATACAAGATATTTTTTCGTCCAATTTAACTAAAGAATCAGCTAATGTAAATACACATGGAATTACAACTTTGCTAACTAAATGGTTCATTTGTTCTACTTTTGATGATACACGGTCAACTTTTGCACTTAACATGTTAATTTGATTACTAAGATTCAACATTGTATCAGCATGAGCTTTATTAATTTCTGATAACTGTTGCTGATAATGTTACATGTGATCTTCAACATCACAACGCCTAATTAGTGAATCTTCCCCACTATCAGTTCTATTGAGAACATTAGTATACGTTGATAACTGTGCCTGTGTAACAGATGAGGACTTACTAGTGATACTGTACGATTAACCTGTTGTTGAACATGAGATGTAACACGATTTTGTGCAGGTGTAAGAGGAAAAACTCTGTTCAGACGACTTCTAAATGCTTTAGATATGTGTACATGATTAGGAACTATATCTTTTTCCAGCAGCTGTTCAATTAATTCTCTTCTATACTGTAACAATGCAGGGCACTGAGAATATGTATAAGAATGATCACCACAGCAATTCCTGCACTTAGTAACATTGGTACACACATGTGGTGAATCAAGAGATCTTTCTGCAGATTAGACAGCACAGTATTCATGAGCACTTGCACATTGGCACGGTATCCCTGGCATTTTGAGCATAGCATGATCCTAGGCGTACCCAAATAACATTTCACTGTTAGCTTCAAATGATTAACATAAATAAACCCATTATTCAGACATTTTATGTAATCACGATTGTCACGGAAGTTAACCTTAACATTTTGTGTTCGACTAGATGCCGGACAGACAAAAAGAACGACATCCGCAGAGGCATACTGCTCCTGAACATCAGCTATTACTTCTGCTTCTGATAGCTGACAGGAAACTCCCATAGCTAAAACACTCATCTGTGGAGGTATATGCTTAGGCTGTTCAATGTTAAATTGTTGACTATTAATACTTCTTGGATATGTTTCATTCATAAGTAACTGTGAAAATGCTTCACGATTATCACCATAAACAAACAAATATTTCTTTGTACTATCAATTCGCCAAAATGAAATCAAGTTACGAGTTCTAACATTTCGTCTTTTTAATTCATCGATAAACTGTCTAGTAATCTGTTCAGTAAACAAGACGTTTGTATTAGTAAATGAAATTTTAACGGGCGGAAATCTGAATTCACAACTGAAACGTTCTGCTTCCTTGGAAATCTTGGAAACAGGTGTCTGTAATGGTGGTGAAGTTGTTGCATCAGAAAACTAATCATTTTGCGCTTCTCTCGGCTGCAGTCGACGACGCTGGTGATGTATAACATGAAAAGCCTCAGCATTACCTTCTACTGAATCGTCTAACGTAGTCTGAGATACTGTTGTAAGTGATCGCTGCTCTAATACAGTTGCGTTAGTTGTATTACCGTTTTGTCGAATTGCTGGTGTTTCTGGTGCTGGTTGTGAACTCATTTTTATACTGTTACGTTCATCCTCATCGGTACTATCTAATAAGCCCGGAGGCGGCGAAATTTTCCTACACTGGAACACTGTAATGGTGTTATTAATAATTAAGAAGGAACTGGAAAAGTATTTAAAACTTAATTTAAAAAAATTTGAGAAAACAAAAATTCGTTGCGCTCCGCGCGAAAAAAGAGTTGAAAAAAGACTTACTAGGAATTGTTCGGTAGAGATGGCTATGTTTCTTTAGCCACAAGAGAGCGTTCCGTACTTTTTGTCGGCTCACACCACATACTTTTCGTAGCTGCCCACGATCTGGCATGTGAGCACCGACACAGATAATTTTGAGCGTGTCACAAAGATCGTCCACCTTTATAATCTCATAATTAAAAGAGAGAAGAACTGTTACCAATTCTTTGGACACCGGGTTGGGACAGTTCCAGTTTAGTTCTTTTGAACGAGAACTGGTAACAGTCATTCGCAATCTACGTAAAAAGCCGAACCAGAATACATATACCGTTTTCTTCCAAAGAGGACGCAAGTATAATCGACCCGATTTGCTATGCAACAAGACCAGTCACTAAGGAAATCCTTCTTCAAGAACACCACCAAGACTGGCCACGTGTAGGCACAAAGTAAGCTTTAGAGTATATTTTAGTGAAGAGACACCGAGGCAAGCCAGAAACTAGCAAGCCACCAAGACTTCACTGCAATGATTTTTCTGATACTATCTTAGATGGGTGTCAATCAAGAATATTATCACTTCGGTTACTTACTAATCACACTTTTTGCGAAGCTCTGGGATCAAGTGTAACTGTAACCACCTGGATAATCTTGTAGTGTTGAACATTTATATTTCTGTAGCACAAGGCAAGGAACGCCTCTTTCTAATAAATATTTTGATCGTTTCATTACCCAATAATATCCTCATTCAAATGATAAATCTACTCACCAAACGTTTCCAAGTTGTTATAATGACTAATATTATTGATGATTAGTGGTTTGAAATCAGCTAATAGTTATTACTATCAGAGATCGTTTCATACTGTCAATAGCCAAAGAATACATCAGTTGGCTGATTGAATTTATATGTGATTAAACAAATGTTGCTGTAATAGAAGTATCTCCATTTTATTCTTTGATGTTTCATGCTGGAATATCTCATCGATTTTAATTATGAGATTATACAATAACAGCCACCATTAGAGGAGAGTCATTTCAGTCACCACTTATCCATTTGTATATTTGATTCTAAGGACCAATTTAATGTACAATAAATTACCGCTCTTGATGATTTCGAGATCAATAGTAAAATAGACGTTTTTTCTTTTCCTTTATTGTTTATACGATAGTTATCAATGGATAAATGAGAATCATTGCTAGCTCACGAAGGACGTATTTCTCTACAGTTAAAAAGTCGTTCATGTATAACGAAGGTGTGGATGTTCTTCTGATTAAATGG